TGACTGAAGTCATTAGAGAAGCAGTCCATCCTTCTACCATGTGTACCCATCAAACAGTGTCGAGTAATTACGCCGACTGTTGAGATCGTGGATATTCTGCTTAGAAGAAGTAGAGATATAGTCCTCTTTTTATCGATCTATGGCTAGATCTGATTGGTCTCATTGCTTGTGGTTTCACCCTGTCATCTGCTATTCGCTTTGATGGTAAAGGACGATCTAGATAGGTATACTGCAGAGGAAAGAAGTATACCCGCATCGTGTTTGGAAAGTGTACTATTCTTGCTAGCTGGTCTGGAAAACTGCGGACCGTAGTAGCGAAGTAGTCAGCGGTGCGTATTGCTGGCCGGGTGGTCTTGACCGGACCAATAACCAAAGTTGTAGAAAAAATTATAATCATCTCTCGGCAGGCAATTTCGAGCCCTCGGAGTGTATTTCTGCCAGGGCATAAAGAGCTTCTCATAGAGGTCAATCAGCCGTTCGGAGCTGGCTTAGGATATAGTGTAGGTGCCGCTATTTGTACGGAAAACTTTTAGACGCACATTACAAATAGCTAGCAAGTACATATGTGTGAGTATGTAAAAGATGACTCATTTCGAGATTACCTACTTTTTTTTAAAGAAAAAACACAGAAAATTAAAATTTAATGAAGAATGTTTATTATTAAAGAATATCTCTTTCAAATGTTGGCCATGGCTACGTCTTAGTTGGTCCATCCGTTTAGTCTGATTTTCGGTGACTCCGTCAAGCCTTTCGACTGGTAAATGGCGAATAGCATGCTTCATGTTTACCTCCAAAGCCTGAACGAAGCAGGATTGTTCGCATAGACTCTAGACTTTACATATTCCCACAGGAAAAAGTCTAACGGCGTGATATCACACGATCTTGGTGGCCAATCGACCGGCACAAAGCGTGAAATTATTTGCTCACCGAAGTGTTCTCTCAAGAAATCCATTGATTGATGCAATATGTGGAAAGTGGCGCCTTCTTGTTGAAACTAAAAGTCGCCGAGATCACGAGCTACAATTTTAGGCATCAAATAGTCGGTTATCATGGCGCGTTAAGGGTCGCCATTGATGGTTACGTTCTCACCGGCATCATTTTTGAAGAAAAATATGGCCCACAAACCAGACTAAATCGCTATTTTTACTGGATGAAATGGCAGCTCTTGAATCTCTTCAGGTTGCACTTCGTCCCAAATACGACAATTTTGCTTGTTTACATACCCGTTGAGCCAAAAATGGGCTTCATCGCTGAACAAAATTTTGCTCAAAAACTTCACATCTTTTTTGAACTTTTCAAAAGCTCATTGAACGCAGCGATGCCGCTTGCCAAGGTTGAGCGGCTTCAGTTCTTGGACAAGCTGTATTTTGTACGCTTTCAATTTAAGATCTTGAAGTAAAATGCGCCAAGTCGTTCCATACTTGCTGAGGTTTTCCTTAAATTCGTTTTCCCCGAAACCGTCGAGAAGTACCGTATTTAGATACACCAGTAACCGATTGGGTACATATGAAATAATTTTGAACTCAGAATTTGCCAACACTCGCCCAAAACCAAAACCGCTGCTGCATTATTGTTACGCTGTAGCGATGTATGCGCCACCGCTCAGTTGCCGACTGCCGACTGCCGGCTGCCGGCTGCGTCTGCGTGTGTGGTCTTTAATTCGTCTTTCGGGTGGTCTCATCCAAATTCGGTCGGCGTTGTGTGTGTGGCTTGTGTGTATCGAGCGTCTATGCACATGTGTACGTATGAATATACTTATGTATGAATGTATGTATGTTTGTATATATGAATTTATTTATATTATCGGCATGTGTGGTCCACATCACATCACATACGGCTACAAACATGCAATACGAGTATGTGGTCTCAACCATCAACGTCAATGTACAAACATATAAACATACATATGGATATCTATATGTATATGATCATATGTATGTATGTTGATGTTGTTATTGTTGTAGCTATAGCTATAGCTATAGTCACTGCGTGCAGCTTACACCTTCTGGCGCTACGTTGTTATTCGCATAAAACTGTTGCTATTTGTTGTTGTCCGTCCCCGTCCTTCTACATACATACTTCATATAATTTATGTTTGGCATACGTTTTTGCTTCTATGATTATTTCAATTTGTAATTGCGGTAATAAAAATACTCGACGCGGTGGCCACTTAAGCGAATTCATTCATGCATACGAGTATGACGAGCGAGTAGCCACACACATGCACACACGTACATATGTATATATTTACGTATGCAAATTTGTATGGTGTGGCTGGTGTGTGTACATATGTGTGTTTGTGTATGCATATACGAGTATGAAAGCTCTTATAAAAGTCCATTTAAGTTCACTTAAGTGCCCATAAGTATTTTATTGTAATGCGCGTAAAGCTTTTTTGGGCACAGCTAGTGGATCATAACCCTTTATGGCATGCCTTTTCTATGAAACTATTAAAGTAGTGGAAATAGCTTTCACCTTTGGACCTCCGTTCAAGTGCACCGCTTGGCCAAACCAAGAGAACTCTTTTGGTCTGTTATTGTTGAGTTGTTCAGCCTTTGATTTATTGCTTAGACAAGCAGCGGCTGTGATCGGCAAGATGTTCTCTCTTAAGGCATCAGCCGTGTAAACTGGGGTTGAGCAACATTGAAAGCTCCGTCAGCATCGGGAAGTACTACCCGGCGGGTTAAGGGCTCAAGACTTCACCCGCGTTAAGGCATGCCTCTCTTAAGAGGCAACTAAAATCTTATAATTCCCGTCGCAGTCAAGTATTTATACCTGAACGACCCAGATTTTCAGCCGGCCAAGCACTGTCTCTGCTGCAACATTCCCCAAAAACAACTTTGGGGGAATAATTTTGCGTTAAGAACAACAACGACAACTACCCAGCCAAGGACAGTCACTCAGGCAACACACTTTGCTGTCAGCAGTAGACAATAACGGCCAAAAGGTTCCTCGTTCACGTTGACGTGGAGGAAGAACCGCTGTGAGCCATCGGGCCAAGTACAGTAGCTTCCGCAACATTTGCTAAAAAATCACTTTGGAGAATGTATTATCGGCTATAGCAACAACAAAAATATCTCCGAGTCGTACATTAGCCTTCGGACAAGATTGCTCCTGCCTTTTTTAATTCAACACTGGAGGAAAATAAACCGAGCTGCAGAGCTAAACAGACGGTGCAATCTTCTACAGGAACATACATACGTGTACAACTGTTGGTATATGGGAAATGTCGATGATATTGACACCGTGCGATTGGTTGGTTGGTTGGTTAACTGAAATGGTTACCGGACATCAGCTTACCTTGACCCCGAAAGGGTCCATCGTGACACCATTGAGTATCCTAATGGCCGCCACGCGCTAATCAAACCAATGTGTGGAGCTTGAAATACTGAGCAGTCACGGCATCTTCGTCCCCGCTATCTTTGTCAAGCCTCCAAATGTTGCAGCCCCTAGAGACTTCCACCTGTTCCTCCAAAGTGCGGAACATTCGCAAAGAAAGTATCTCTTCTTCTTGTCTGCAACTTCTGTAGTAGACCTTTTATGGTAAGCCCAAGCTCTCTGCGTGCCTGTCCAGTAAAAAGACCTATAACTATAGATATCTCCTTTATTTTTAGCTCGATAAGTTCACTAGACTTTCTACTATTTCATGCTGGCCACATTGGTCATCTTGAGTTAGCATCTTGAATAAATAACGTTTCACATTGGGCCTGGCTATACGAAAAAGTATGAAGACAATTTTTTTTTACATTTCAGCAGCACCATTGAGATCAGGGAAATGACAGCCGCATGTCACATGCCACTAATTCCACCTGAAAAACACTTCAGTGATCCAATAAAAGAAAAGATTTCCAGGTACCAAGATCCTTTAAGTAAACTCCACCATCGCCCCTGTTGACTAGTTTGACTCATTCGTATCGAGCCGGTGCTTGCTGGTATTATCCTTTCATTTCACTTTCTTCAGATTTGGTAAAGAAGCGAAGCCTATGATTCTTGTAATGAACAAATACAAGCTGTATTAGGCGCTCTCTATAGTAAAAACTTGGACGATGACGGTGTCGGTTACAAGATTTTTCAGAAGAAACGCTAATCCAACGAATTTAGGACCGTCGCCAAGTGAACGATGCGTTGTATGAGATGCATAAATCACTACATTGACAACAAATTGAAAGACAGCTATATCATGACATTCGAATGAATGAAAACACTCGATCTGGGAAAGCTTTCGATACCGCACCCTTCGATAGAAACAGCGAAAGATAAAAATCTTAATTGTAAGCTGTAAGTTCGTAAGCTTGTGGTAAACAAATACTCGCGACACTAAACATTATGGAGTATCACCAGAAGGCCATTGGATTTTATAGGGGTCGTATTTTTGTAGGTAAGAATTTAGCCGGAAATACCCGGTTACAGATGCGTAAGCATGGCACGTGTTGCAACTCCAGCTCTTCATCTCCAAATCGGTTGGCGGACCACTAGCCTCGCCAGTGCATACACGGCAGAAATTGTACCGCTAATTGGGTTTTCGTCGTTAAGGCTGGCTGTGAATCCACGACATCATATCAAACAGTGTTTCATAAAGACCATTCGACAGCATTGTCAGAGAATTCGTTCAAAACCCTAAAGTTCCTGGCTTATATCGTTTGCACAATGTGGGGGTTTCCATACATCACATGGATATATTTAAGGCTTTTCGGGAAATCTAGCTCCCTTTGTTTATCCTAATGTGGTCAACCAAGGGTCAACCCCGCGCTGCGCGATGTAACGTAGTTTTCTTCATACTTTTTTTTTTGTTTGAATTTTATTTAAATAATAAAATGACTTAAAGACCGTAGCTTTAGAATGGCATATCAATTTATAATTTGAAATATGTGTTAAATTAGCTGATTTCACTGTTAAATAAAATGATTAGAAATGAAAGCAAAATATTTCAGAATGGCAGTACTGCTTGTCGATACCACAAGGTTGCACCTTTTCTCTTTGACATTTCTTTAAAGGATTTTTGACAGTCCATTGTCGAATGCAATTTTCTTATTTCTTTTATGAGTTGTTTTCATTTAGCCACACGGGCGAAGTAAATTTGCATAGCTGTAAAGAACAATTTCCACTTCAAAATGCCACCAAAAAAAGCTCCAGCTGCAAGCAAGAAAACCGAGCAGAAGAAGAAGGAAAAAATCATTGAGGTAAGTTCATTATTTACGTCCCCAATGAAGGAATGTCTAACTTGTCCTAACCTAACTTTTTTGGTATTGCTGGTATTGTTTTCTGCTCGCCGCAAACTCACACACAAACTTTTTGAACCATTATGGAACTGATTTGTAGGACAAGACTTTTGGTTTGAAAAACAAAAAAGGTTCCAAACAACAGAAGTTCATACAGCAAGTACAGAAACAAGTACAATCTGGTGGCCAACATCCACGTACCGATGGCGATAAGCGTAAGGAAGATAAGGAGAAAAAATTGCAGGAGCAACGTGAGTTGGCCATGATTTTCCGACCGATACAAGGACAGAAAGTGGAAAAGGGTACCGATCCAAAATCTGTGGTATGTGCGTTCTTCAAACAGGGTACTTGTACGAAAGGTGATAAATGTAAATTCTCGCACGACTTATCAATTGAACAAAAGGTAAGTGTTCTGGAGAGTAGAGTTATGAGAAAACAATACTTTACATTTTTTTAAATTTAATGTTGGCTGTATAGACCGAGAAGCGTTCTATATATGTAGATATGCGCGATGATGATCCTGATGATAATATGGCAAACTGGGATGATGCGAAATTGAAAGAAGTCGTGGATAAAAAGCACGCCGACGAGAAGAAGAGACCAACAACTGATATTGTACGTAAATTGTATATATGTATTTGGTTTATCTGTAATATTACATAAAACAAGCTTGCAGATTTGCAAATACTTCCTTGAAGCTGTGGAGAAATCCAAATACGGTTGGTTCTGGGAATGTCCCAATGGAGAGAAATGTATTTATCGTCATGCACTGCCCCCTGGGTATGTGCTCAAGAAGGATAAAAAGAAGGACGATAAACCAAGTGAGATTTCATTAGTTGATCTAATAGAAAGAGAACGCGCTGCTCTTGGTTCAAGTCAAACACGCGTCACATTGGAAACATTTTTGGCTTGGAAGAAACGTAAAATACAAGAGAAGAAAGAGAAAATGGCAGCTGAGGAAGAAAAGAAGAAGAGTGATTTCAGCAAGGGCAAACAATTTGGCATATCTGGTAGAGAAATGTTCAGCTTCAATCCTGATCTGGTCGATGATGGACCAATGGAGGAAGGTGATGCTGCATTTGACAACTACGCACGCTCCGATGATGAAGATGCAGTTGAATTCAAGGAATTGGATCTGGCGGCACTTTCGCTTGCAGCGCAGGAAGCTGATGGCTCGGGTACTGTAGCATCGGAAACTCGTTTGCAATCCGATGCGGCGGCGAAGAAAGAGGAGGAGGAAGCAGCCGCGGCCATAAACGATGAGAGTAACACACCTGCTAACGATGCGGCACCCATCAATAAAGAACTTTTCATGGGCCTCGTAGATGAGCTAGATGATTTGGACATTGATGGTGACGATGATGACGACTAAACAATTTTTTAAATTTGAAAAAAAAAAAACCACGCGCCTCTTCATATTGGCAAAAAAGAAATAACTTGGTCAAATCTGACACAGCATGCAGTTTACAAAACTAGAGAATAATATACATACATACAAGTAAATGCAGTACATTATTAGCTTCCTTGAGATAATGTTATGTTGGAATGCAAGAATTTATTAAACACTATAAAATCCTCATTAAATTTTATGTTTTTTATTTTGCATTCATGGACACACTAGCATATATTTTTTCAAATTTTAAAACTACAGCCCGGCATTCACATTTAAACAATTTACGATAATAACTTAAGAGCATTCACGGAAATTTAGTAAAATTTAAAAGATTACCACTTATTTAAATATGCAGCTATTAACTACCAAAACGAGGGTGGTAGTGTACCTTGGGGCTCTGGTATCTGATTCTGATTCAAATAATTCATAAATAACATTTCCAAACGCGTACGTGGACCACCCTCATCCACTTGCGCCAATTTTGCAAAATATTCACGTTGAATATAAATAAGCAATTTGGTGAATTGCTTGCCATAAGCGCGACACATGTTGAAGCCCAGAGTCTGTAGCATTTCCAAAATCAATGTCGCACTAATGTCTGGTAGTGGCTCAAGAGTGGTAAAATTAGCCAGCCAACGCCAAGCGTGTTCCAACCCATATGGATGTTCGGGGCCTTCAGCCCGTCGTCCGTTTGTAATCATTACAGCAGCGTATAGGCGTGTTATACCCGCTTGTCGCTTCAAGTCGTTGTATTCTTCTATTGATTTGCCACGTAAAGGCACAAGGAAAGGTGAGTCCTTAAAAATGTAAGCGAGGAATAATTTACCGAATTCCGGTATAAGCTTCCACAATGAGACCACAACTGAAGCGACTGGAAATGCAGCCTGAGGATTGCTGGAAATTGCAGTTTCGCCTTGATTTACAAAACGCTTTGCTGTCAGTAGCAGACAATAATTCCGGCCCAAAGGATGATCATTAACGCTGACTTGCCCATCGGAAGTTTTATGTGGCTGTCCGTTGAGAAAATTGAAAATGCGCTCGAATTTGTCCTAAAAAATATGTATATATATATAGTTCAATTATATGAAAAAAAAAAACAATTTTAATTTATTGGCCAACCTGGAGATGTTGTGGGCTCACTGCCGATATGGCATTTAGCGGTATATTAATGGCTTTCTGACAAGCGAAGCGGTACTTTTTCATATTTTCGTCTGTCTGCAACGGCTTGACACTCTCCACTTTCTCTTGATAGAAGCTGTAAATTTCTTGATAGAATGCCAATACTGCCGCTGGCACTGTAGAATGCGTTGCACGTGTGGTTTTCGGCGTCTGCGGTGTGATTTGTTGCGGCTGTTGACGTTGCTGCGTTGGCGGTGTTTGTGGTGTAACAGTGCTTTGTTGCGTGTCAACAACTTGCTCCTGCACAGGCAATGATTGCGGCAACGCCTGCGCGTGCTCTGTTCTAGTCGGTGTTGTGGGCTCGGCAGGTGTTTGTGCTAATTGTGCTACTAATGCGGCAGCTGCAAGTGCTTGTTGCTCTTCCATTTTACGCTGTTCTTCCAACTGTGCCTCTTCCCGTTGCTTCAACATTTTAACAAATTCCTCATTTATGATATTATGTAAGTCGTCCATTTTGTTACAAAGGCTGTTGGCATTTTTCAACTCTTCAGCACTGCAATCGTCGGTTTTAATTCTGTTTGTTATTTGATCGAATTCCTCGACAAGCTCTGTCAACTGGGAATTATAATCAATGCATGGAAGAAACGATTGTTTTTTAATAGCTGAAAGCGTATTAGAGACACCTTCGTATTTGATACTGAAGACGGTGTGATACTTCGCAACACATTGAAATGAAAAAAGTTCCAGTTGACGTTTTGCATTGAGACGCATTGCTGCCATATGTCGCTCACACTCTTCTAATTCGATTGCTGTCTGTTTTTCAGCCTCTTGTATGATGAGCGCATCATTACGCTGCTTTTCGGCGATGCGCGTCGCAACAAGTTTATGTTGTTGTTCACGCTGGCGAGCAGCATTGTCACGTAATACGGCAAGTTGGCGTTCCTGCATGTCATTAACGTGCTGACGTACTTGCTTTTTGCGTTTCTCTTCAGCATCGCGCAACAGGAATGTGGCACTAATCAGTTCATAGTCCAAGGACTTTAAATTTAAAAAAATTAGCAAATGGTTTCTTTAGAGATCGAACATACTTACCAGCGACGGTTTTATCAATGGTATGATCAGTTTAGTTGTGATTTTCTGATCTTTCGGAGTTTTGGGTTTTTTTGGCGTTATCTCTTTTTTATGAGTACTGGCTGTGAATTTTTCTTCTTCATCTTGTGGCTCGGGTAAATCTGGTCCTATAGTGCGTTCCTTAACTAAAGATGAAATTTCTATAGCATGTTGGAGTGTTATTTCATGTGGCTTTCTGGCGTCCTCATAGTCGAGACTCTACCGTGAGTTAAGTGTAAAAATATTTATATTAAATAATAACATATATATACTTTTCTTTATTTACCTCTTCACTCATGTTAAATTATTACAGCAGTTTTTTTTAAATTTAATTAAATAAAATCAACTTTAGTAAATAAACAAATATTCAGCTGCTTGACGCACAAATGTTAGCAAATTTTTAACAGTTATAGTAAAGGAACAACAGGGTGAATACATTTTTCTACAGCTGCTAATTCGAAACGAACAGCTTATTGTCAATAAAAATTTTGTTTGCTTTTTCCTTCATTATTTATAATTTTCTATGTACTTATACACATACACATACATACATATATTAATAGAGATTAAACTTTTAATTAAATTGTTTATTATTCTATTATTTTTTTATCACCACTTTATCATAAATGAATTACATTTAGCATACATACATAGGTATAAATTTACAAATATTGTACTCAAGCCTTAGAAGAATTTTATACCATAACTATCGTCTAATTCCACCACTTCACATTTGCCTTTAATCTCCAATGTACGTAAAGCATTTAGTAACACCTTCTCATCGATACCGTGAAATTCCATACCCTCAGAATTCTCACCAGACGCAATTTCATAAAGTGTGCAAATCGTATTCAACTGACCCGTCTGCTGTATCCAATCGTACACCATATTAGCATATTCTTCCAGCGTATACCAATACACTTGCCACTCTATGCGTCGCTTATCCAATGGCGCTGCATGACCAGTACGTTGCAGATACTCCAAGATGACCAATATAGTTTCAGGCGATAGCCGCCGTTTGAGTGTCTCATTGTTGAATAATGGAAATGTACTTTCATTAATGTTCACTTGGTATTTATTTAAATATTTGAGGTAGCGTAAAACGAGATCGGCCCAGACCTTAATTTGTTGATTACGTGTTTCTTCGTGAGGTTGTAGGCTGCGGGCGTTAAATAATGAATACTACTTTTTTGTAATAAATGGTATTATACTTACGTGAAAAATGGTGGAAATGTGTACTCCCATGGCCATTGAAATTCTGTCATCGCGCAGTAATGCTAAGTATTATTCAGTGAAATTAATCTTATGAAGCAAATTGATGTTTTTATTCAGAATGTAGCTCATTTACAAATACTTCTTGTATTAAAATCACAGGGTGTTTATAATGCAAAATATTAATATTGCTCCTGTTAGGGTGTTTCACAGTGAATTTGTTGCTAATACTGAATTAAAAAGGTGTATGGTTACAGCCAAATCCAAATTGGATTTCAAGTGCCGACGAAGAAGGACGACTTGAAAAAGAATTGTTAAAAAGTCTAAAGCATGAATTTACCATTAAAATGTTAAAACAACCGGAAAAACTACACAAAAACAAACTTTTGGCAATATTTTTTCGGTTACAACCGCAACACATAGCGTACCGACGGGCTTTGAATACCATTCACGGAGAGTCTGTCTGTCAGTTTCAAATCTAAGCTGCTTCGACGACGCATCAGTTGATCTTGAAAATTTAGATTTGTCCCGCCTGAATCTAAGTGAAAGCCGGCAGAGCATTACCTCAGCTACTGCCTAGATTCGGTTACCACAAGAAATGAATTCGAAATTCTGCGTCAAGGAAATATTTTAACTATAAATAAAAATGCACACTCATGTTACATTAAAATGATGTTTAGTATATTTAAATATACACATTTTATTTTATTTTCTTTTTTAGAAAAAAAAATGCATTAACATTTCTTGCTATATATCCTTTTATCTCTGGTAATTCTTGCAGTTTTGTATTTGTATTTATTTTAAATTTTATTTGTTTTTTTTTTTGTTTTTTACCTGCGAAATTCCTCCAATAAATAATCTCTTTGCCTATTTCCATAGATATTTAATAATGTACAGAATGTGACCACTGATCGTTCGGATTTTGACCAACGCCTTTCTTTAGAAGTAAACACGTCTATAGTTTTTATTTTTTATTTTTTTTATCATTTCTTTGAACTACATGCATACATATACACATGTATATATGTGGTTTCCTTTTATTTGAACATACACACACTTTCAGCGAGACATATGTAGGTAAATAAACATTGTTTGAGATATACATATGCATTTTTCTTTTTTTGTTTACTTCACGTTTTTTTTATAATATTTATTTATATGCACTTAAATATTTATTTATTATAGATTGTTTTATTTTTTTTTTAGTATTTATAAATATACGCGCGAAACTTACTGCTATATTACATATACATACATACATTGAAAGTTTTTTTTGTTTTTTTTTTTAGATATATTACGATGCCTTACAGATTTCCACTGTAATTTAGTAATTACATAACGCATGCTATATACGTCTTTACAGCAACAATGCAATACTTTTTTTTTCTATTTAGTCATACTGCTGAGTTGTATTAATAAATACTTTAATGTTTTTTCTGCTTTTCTTATAAATTTGTTTTATATATATTATATATATATATATATATATATATATTTTTTTTTTTTATATAAAAATTACATAGAGCTATGGCAGCGAGTTTATAAATACATATACATTCATTTTAAGGGGAAAAATTATGCAAAACTTAACAAAAATTTATATAAAAGCATTAATAACATAAATACATATATATATATGAAACTAAATTGCTTTACAACAATTAAACTAAAACTTAAATTCAGCCGTTTATGTATAAGTAATTTTCTTTAATTACAAAATATTTTTTTTTTTTACAAAATATAATGTTTTTTAGTTGTAAAATATAAAATTATTTGGGTATCAACTACAAAATATAATTTTTAGATAAAAATAATTTTTTTTTTTACATTCTAAAATATATTAATTACAAAGAAATATAAATATATATACCTATACACTGTAAAGAAAAAAATATATATATAGAACTAAGAAAAAGCAAAAATTAACAGAACTCAATATAAAAGCATACATATGCATATATGTATATATTTACATATAAAAATAATTTGCCCTCACAAATACTTAATTAAAACTCAGCCGTTTATGTATAATTTTTTTTTAGTTACAAAATGAAATTTTCTTTCGATTACAATTTATAAAACTGTTTAGTAATTACAATATATATAATTTTTAACATATACAAATTTATTTTTTAAATAAAAAAATATAATTTTTTTAATTATAAATTATGTACATAATTTATAAAATTTTATTTTAATTACGAAATAAAAAAATTTTATTTCTAAATAAAAGAAAAAAAAACAAAACAAATAATATTAATACAAAACAATAATTTTTTTAAATAACAAATAAAAATACCTTTCTTTAAATTAAAAATATATGTATAATGTATGCATGTATAAAAAATATAATTTTTAAACTCAAAAATATAAATTTTGTGTAATTATAAAATAAAATAATTATTTATTTGAATATCCAATAAAAATTATTTTCTTTAAATTCAAAATATATATTTCTTTTAGTTACAAAATATAAATTTTTAGTGCCAAAATAATTTTTTCAATTATAAAAAATAACTTTTTTAATTATAAAATGTATTTTCTTTTGATTATAAAATATTATACTAAATTATTATTTATTTAAATAAAAAACAAAAATTCTCTTCTTCAAAATATGTATATATTTAAATTAAAATTTTTTAAATTACAAAATGTAATTTTTTTAATTATAACATATATTTTCTTTTAAAAAAAATATTTTTTTAATACAAAATATTTATTTTTTTAATTACAAAATAAAAACTCCATTTTTATTGCAAAATTTAAATTTTTTTTATAAATTAGAAAATAAAACATAATTTTTTTAATACAAAATATTTATTTTTTTAAATTACAAATAATAATTCTTTTCTTTAAATGGGAAAAAATATAATTTTTTAATTACAGAATATAGGTTTTTTTTTTATTTTAAAATATTATATATATGTAAATAAAAAAGATTATTTTTTAATGCAAAATATTTATTTGTTTATATCATAAATTATATACAAAATATATATTTCTTTAAATTTAAAAATTTTATTTTTTTAATTATAAAATAGATTTTCATTTAATAACAAAATAAAACATTAGTATTATTTTCTATACAAAATATTTATTTTTTTAAATTTCAAAATAAAAGCTATTTCTTTTTTAATTGCAAATTATAATTGTTTTATAATACAAAATAGAAAAAAAAATTAATTACAAAATTAACGTAACGCCTTTTTATTCATTGTTACCCATTAAACGTGCATAACATATGTTTATGTATAACTGCACAATACATACATATGTTTATGGAAAGTAAATGTATTGCATTGCATTGAATTTTCTTTTAGACTTATAATGTAATAAATGCCTATTTACTCTTCTTCGTTTTGTTACTATTACTACATATTTATTTTTTTGTGTTTGTTGTTGTTGTTGTCGTTTCTTTTAATATAATATCTATATCTATTTACGCGATTTGAATTTCATTTATATATTTTATGTACATACATATGTATGTATATTGTAGGATACATACATACATACATACATATGCCTAATATACTACATATATGTACATACATACATACTAATCATACAATATATATATTTATAATATGCATACGTTTTAAATACAAATTTTACGCCTGTTTTATTTGCCGCCCAAAAATCATACATTTACATACATATTTACATATGTATGTGTATATATATATATTTATACATGTATAGTTTTGTAATTGTATCCTTCGTTCCCCATTATTAATAAATACAAATTTTAAACTTTTTATTCATTTTTTCCTTGTTTTTTTTTTTGCAATTTGTGTGTATTTCAAATTTTTCATTTTTTTCTTATTTAATTTATTTATTTTTCTTTTTTGGTGTGCAGCATTTTGTAAATTACAACAACACATAGAAATTAATACAGTTGTGGTCTAGTACATGCAGATTGTTTTAATATCGCTCTTTGTTTTAGTTTTTTAAATATTAACCGTTTTTCATTCATCTTTATCTTCTTCTTCTTTTTGTTCTGCTACTTTTCATAAACACTATTTATTACTCAACACTATTCATAAAGTTTGCATTTTTCTCTTTGTTGTTTTGTATGTACATATATATTTGTTTTCAAACACTACTACAATTTGTTTTTGTTTTTTGTTGTTGTTAGTTTGCCTATATTGAAAATGTTTAGTTAGTGCAGTTTTTTGTATAATCAAAGTGGCTGTTGTTTTTCTGTTGAGAGCGCGCACAAATTGTTGCCAGAAAGGTTGGAGAGAAAAAGAAAGTAACGGAATTTTGAAGGATTTTTTTTGTACAAATATTTATGCTCTCATCATGAGGAAAAACCATTTGAAATGAATTGATGAAATTTAATAGCAAATACAATTATTGTGGCCGTCGCGCACAACTACACTTATACATGCAAATATATGTATGTATATGTACATGCAATATTTGAACATTTATTTTTCTTTCATTTAGTTTATATGTATTTATGTATGTTTGTAGGTCAGTTAGCTACACTAATAATGTACAACTTCAGTTCGACAGGATACGAGTGGAGGTAATCGATAGCGTTTTAATTTCCTTTTCATTATTTATTGATATTATTTTTCTATGAAAATTGAAATTTAATTTGTTTATAGATTTGATACATAGAAAAGTGCTTTAATTTTTGTTGAAAGTGTGGCAGGCGTAGAGAACGTGTGTATACTTTGTATTAAAAAGTGCTATTTCATAAAAAAAAAAAATATATATAAATTTTTTTATTTTTTTCTGGGCATAAATTCTTCATACAAATTATTTTTTTTCCATTGATGCAACAGTTGCTTATTTTTTCAGAGTTTTATTTATGGCTGGGGCAAAAAATATTACATTATCCTTTTTTTCTGGCAGTAAAACAAAAAAATGTAAAAAAGTTAAAAAGAAATTTAAAAAGTTCAAAAACTCGCAAAAATAAATTTTTAAAATGGACGGAATAATGTAGAAATTCACAAATTAAATAACTCATGAAGAGATTAAAAAAATTGTTTTTAGAAAAAATGGCAAAAGCTTGTTCGAATTTTTCAACACCATCTGCTGCTTATTTAGCTGAAATATATACATTATGCTTCTTAGAAATACTTTAGACCAGTTTTTTCTTTGAATAATTAAAGAAATAATGAAAATTTCTCTTTCATAACACTTTAGACCAGTTTTTAATTTAAATAATTAAGGGAACAACAAAATTTTGTATTTCGCAATATTTTAGACCAGTTTTTTTTCTTTCAAAAATTAAACGAGTGCCGAAAATTTCACTGTAATAACACTTTAGACCAGTTTTTACCCTTTAATTAATTAAATGAGTACTAAAAAAATTCTCTTTAATAATACTTTATAACAGTTTTTTTTTTTGAAATAATGTAATTTCCTCTTTGAACTATTTTTCCTTTAAATAATTAAGGGTTTACTGAAATTTTATATTTCATAATATTTTAGACCAGTTTTTTCTTTCAATAATTAAAGGAGTGCTGAAAATTTTTCCTCTCAAAATACTTAAATGAGTAATGAAAGATTCTTTCATAATATTTTAGACCAGTTTTTTCTTTGCACAATTAAAGGAGAGCCGAAAATTTCTTTATCAAAATACTTTAGACCAGTTCTTACCCTTTCAGTGGTTAAAGGAGTGCTGAAAATTTACCTTTCTCAATACTTTAGACCAGTTTTTTTCTTGGAAAACTGAAATTTAGAAAAGAAAAAAAATTTTGGTCAATAATTTACACTAGAAAAGTAAAACAGTTCTGAAAACTAAAATAAGTTTTTGACAATTTCGCCACGAGATGAGGAAACTGAGAAGAAATTTTGCGTAGAAATGGTTTTTAGACCAAATACGCAGTATTTGAATGCTAATATACTTATATATGTACATATGTGTTACAATTACAAATATGACCTAAAAGAAAATTCGTCTGGCCTATGAAAGAAGAGAAAAAAATAATTCTGTCAGGTTTTTAAGATAAAAAAAAATATTTTTGAAGAAGGTTGAATTTCATTTGCAAGATCTTAAATTTGTTTAAACCAGATTTTGTTTATCTATGCCAGATTTTTCTTTAAAAAAATATGCTGAAAATATATTCATTGCATTGAAAATATATATTACAAACGTGACTTCAACAAAGAAAAGTGTCTTGCTTGTGATTGGTAGTCTAGATTTAGATAATTATGAAGTAGATTTCTACTAGATAGATTATTTGTAATCAGAATTTTGGATTTTACACTTTTTTTGCCAAATTTTTTCTTTATACAAAAGTTTTCTAATATACTAGATTATTCATTTATCCCAGATTTTTCATTTACACAATTTCTGGATTTCAAACTTGTTTATTCCCGATTTATACCAGTGTTATTGTTTATACCAGATTTTTGTTTATTCCAGATATTTGAGTTTTAAACTTAATTATTTATGCTAGAGCCTTCATTTATAACAGCTTTTTCGTTTATACCAGAATTTGCGTTTATACCAGTTTTCTTGTTATTCCAGACATTTGAGTTTTAAACTTCATTATTTATACCAGATCTTTCATTTATAACAGCTTTTTCGTTTATACCAGAATTTTCGTTTATACCAATTTTCTTGTTTCTACCAGATTTTTGTTTATACCAGTTTTCTTGTTTCTACCAGATTTTTGTTTATTCCAGGCATTTGAGTTTTAAACTTAATTAAACCAGATATTTCGTTTATACCAGATTTTTTGTTTATGTTTTTAATCTGAGTTTAATAGTTTCCGTGGGAGACGAAGCTCGATGAAAAACTCCTTCAGCGTTTATAAAGCCCCAAATTTCCAATCGCTGGAAAAAACGACTACTGGCATGCGGTACCAACGAAATTTTAATATGTAAGAGATTTATTATTATTTTAGACGAAAAGTCATGCTCTAGAATATAACACAATAATTTGGAAAAATTACTTAAATTTGAAATTCAGTGCACAACCAAATACTTTATGAAGTTTTCTTTTTTGCATTAATTAAAAAAATTAAATTACTTGAAAAATTATTTCAGATCTCAAACATAATTTTAAATTATTTGAAAAACTTACATAAATTTTAAATACCTTTATGGACATTTTTCGCACTATTTTTAAAAAGAAAAATGAAATTCCAAATCATTTGTAAGAAATTATGCCACTTAAATCATAAATTAAACAAAAATAAAATTCGTATACTTTTTCATGTAAAAAAAGAAAGAAATAACCTCCACTAGTACAATTATTTTGGGCTCAATAAACGGCGTATACGTGCGACTTATTATCATAGTTAGCATTTTCTACATAAAAAAAATATTTTAATTATAAAAACTCGCTACTTAATAGTTGCTTAAAGCTTTAAAGGTAACAACAAAAATATTTCGCAAAAATACTTTAGATTGTGTGGCGAGGAGCAGAAGCAGCAAGTAACGCTTTGCTTTACTTTGTGTTTTTTTCTTCCATCTTTCATTACTACGCACGCTCAGCTGTGCTGGCATTTTTGTATGATGTGCAGCAGGAATTATCGTTTTTTTCTTTACATACATATATATCTGTATATATATCTATTTATATAATAGATGATTTCTTTTGCTTTTAATTATTTATAACATTTTTATATAATTACTATTTTTTTTTGTGTTTTTCAATTTCTTATTTCCATCTACCGCTTTTTACACCTAAAACATGCACGCACGCTACATACATACATCCATTTAGTAGTGCTTGCCATTAAGCCGAGTGAGCGTTATTTTTTTTTCAATTTCAGCTAAACAGCCTAAAACACGCTAATGTCTAATATTATATATATATAAATGTATGTCTGTGTGTGTGATTGAATTGTTTCGCATTTAAACGCCGCTTCGCAGTTAAGCTACTAATTCAAAAAATTTAATTACACTAACACATTACACCAGCCTGATGCTTCCTTCATTTGGGTAATGGTTCCAGATAACAACGTACTGTGTTGTTCTCATCCAGCATTGCCGATATATTACGGCCGATGATCGGTTGTGGGTGCGACGATGACGGTGTTGTTGCTGTAGCTGTTGCCGTTAGTGTTGTTGGCGACAACTGTTGCCTCTTGGGTAGGGGATATAGCTGCTGCTGATGCTGCTGCTGTTGCTGGTGCTGATTGGCTGGCGGTAAGGGCGGCCCAAAGCCGCTGCCGCCGCCGCTGCTGTTGTTGCCATGAGTCGTGGTGAATAACTCATGCACACCACCTATTCGATTATTCGGTGAGATCTTCTTTATGGCACGTATGGATCCCGCGCCGCCACTGCCACCGCCGCTAATGCCAAAAACCGTCGCGCCAACACCACCACCACCACCGCCACTACTACTGCCGCTTGGTGCTGGCGCGTTGTGATGATCAAAGTATGCTGTCGCCGGTTTGTCATTTAATGCGCCTTCGCCTTTCTTCCGTTGCCTTCTGTTGAAAGAGAGAAGAAAAATATAAAACATTATTGAGTACATTTATAAACAATATACGAATTAAGCAATATTTTTAAGATAAAAAAAAAGAAATGAACTTGGTATTGTCCGTTCACTGAGTCAGTTCAATCTAACCTAACTTAATTTTTTTTTATTAAATTTTCTTTCGAATATCTTTTATGAACAATAGTACCATATACCTGGTGAAGACCCTAAATGATCTAGCCATGGCCGCCTGTATTGAAATGCATCTCTCAGCTTGAGTACTTGGTGAGGTTAGTGTCTGAATTTTGGAGCAGCCGAAAAAAAAAGTTGTCTTGCTGAAGTAAGCCTCACTGAAGATTTGACAGTAGCAGATGTTATGCTCTGCCAACCCCTGTTGTTGTTGTTGTAACCGCAAAATTATTCCCCAAAGTACTTTTTGGGGAATGTTGCGGGAGTGACAGTCCTTGGCCGGATAAAAATCCGGGTCGTTCCGGTATAAAGACCCGACTGTCGCGAGAACTATTGGATTTTAGTCGCCTCTTACGACAGGCATGCCTTACCGCAGGTAAATTCTTGAGCCCCTAACCCGCAGGGGGTTGTTGTTCACCGACGCCGCTTTGAAGTCGGTAGTAAATTACCAAGGTCATCTCATGGAAGGTACAGAAAATGGACTATTTCGACGGGTTCGAACGAGAGGGGAAGAGTGGTTAGATGAGTTAGTTTAGGGACAATGTCAATTCTGTCATATTCTCCAAACATGTTTATGGTTTTGAAAATCATTATAATTAGAAATTGCAAATACAACAAAATTCGCAGTCCCCCCACCATAGAAGGTTTAATGCCTTCGGCTGAAGTGTCTGCTTCAGTCTATTTTATAAAACTAGTTTTGCTTTTCTTTGCATAAATACTCACTGAAACCGCCGCTGAAACTCTTCGTCTTGCATTGCGATCAATCGCCGCATACGCTCATCACCCTGCGGCAAACCACGACGTTGCGCGCTTTCAAACTCCGCCTCCTCCTCATCATCGTCATCGTCGTCCTCTTCGCTGGACGCTCCACTTTCCGCGTGGCCATAACGACTGCCACCACCGTTGTTGCCAACTCCACCACCGCCTATCACACCATTTCGCGCCGCTTCGTAGTGATGTCGTTGTCTCAGATGTTGCTGTCTAAGCGCACGTCGCATGGCACTACTACGTTCGTTTTCTAACTCATCATCATTACACGCGCGTCGCTCATCTTCGTCGTCATCATCATCATCATTCGCAACGCCATACATATTTAAATCCATTTCGTAATGTTGCACATCCGAATTACGATTACTGAGGATTTCCTCATAGACTGGCCCATCACCGCCCATTGAGTTTTGATTGTAGTACTGTTCGCTGCCCGCCCGTCCGCTCGGGTCGTACTCCTCATGGCTGAGATCACAGTTGGAACGTTTATTTCTATAGTAACGCTGTGTAGGCGTATGTGCAGCGCCCATAAATTCGGGCGAATGATGCGAATGCGGATAGTGGTAGGCGTGCGATGCAGGCGCTGGTGGTGGTGGTAGTTGTGAGCCAGCTCGTCGTCCTAAATGCAAGAGATGCGCATGTGCTGCAGCTGCTTGATCCAGTTGTTCCTCATCGGACGATAATTGTTGTTGCATCATGGCCGCTGATGCATGGCGGCGATGTTGTTGGAGCTGCTGCTGCTGCTGTTGTTGGTAATAAGCTGCGGCGCCGACCGCTTCATCGTAATGCGGATACTGCTGCTGCTGCTGCTGTTGTTGTTGCTGAAGCTGTTGTTGCTTCAGTGTTGTCTTCTTGTACGACGGATAGAAAAGTATTTGCTGCAAGGCAAAAAATAAAATAAAATATTGGAATGTAAGATAAAAGCTTTATGCGTCTTTCTTCTTTCTTTAAACTGACTTATTTGTGTGAAGCTGCCAGGTTTTTGAAGAAATACTTTAATCTGAATTAATGCTAAACACATTTTCACTATATTTATCTAAGTAAAAAAATTAGAACAGTTTATAACAAATTTTTCTGGTTAAAATTATAAAAATTACTTTGGATTATACCAGATTTCCAGTTTTAAATAATCAAAATTAGGCCAGTTTATGTCAGATATTTAGTTTTAAGTAATAAAAAATTATACCAGTTTATTCGAGATTTTTTTTCGCACTAAATGATTAAAATTAGACCAGTTAATACCAGATTTTTTGTTTTAATACAAAATTAGATCAGTTTATACCAGGTTTTTGTTTTAAGCAAAAAAAAAACAATAGACCAGTTTATACCAGAATTTTCAATAATAAATTTTTTTTTACCATTTTTCATTTTAAAAACTAAAAAATAAGACCAGTTTATACCAGATTTTTTATTTAAAAAAATAAAAACTTAGACCAGTTATACCAATTTTTTTTGTGACTTGTCACAGTTGATTTTGAAAAACCTTTAAAATATAATAATAAATTCCTGTATATATGTATTTTCTTTTGTCACCAAAAAAAAAAACTAAAAAGAAACTCACCTGTGACGCCGCTGTTGTGCGACTATGCAACGAACCGCTCGGCGATTCCCCACCAATACCGCTGCCGCGCTTCTTCTTACCATGCGGTTGATGCTTTTGCGTCCAATAAAAGAACTCATGAGCTTGCTGTGGTGCTGCAGCGTTGCCCATGTAGTCGCGCGCCTGTGCCAGACTCATCGCATTATTGCCACCGCCCGGCTTACTACTACCCATTTGCTGCTTCCAACCATAGTAGTCAGGTTGATGGTAGTACGCCTCTTGCGGCCCACCACCCGCTGACGCCACTCCTGCGCCAATCATTTGCTGCTTTTGTCCACCGAAAATGAGATGCGTCGAACCAGCCGATGAAGTGGGTGATGTATGACCGGCACTGGGTGTGCGCAAACCACCGCTGCCGCTAACTGAATGCATGGCATTTGCGCCACCACCACCACCACCACGTTCCAGCACAATGTGTCCCTGCATGGCATCAATGATGGAGTGTCCACCTTTGCTGTGCTGCTGTAGAGTCATATTGCCGCCGCTGACACCAACACCTTTCACTACGTCGACATCACCATCACCAGTTGATGACAAATTACATGGATCATTCAATTCACAATCGGACGAGGCTATAATGGCATCCTCGCCGGCGGATATTATGCCGCCCGTTTCGTCGGACACTAAACCTTCACTGCCTACAGGCAGTTTGGTCTTTTTCATTTGTACACCACTAATTGTGCCGCGATGTGGACCGGATAGAGTGCCGCCGCCACCACCACCTCCGTTGCCTGTACCCAAATTACTGCCGCCAATACCATTATTGCCAACTATACCCGATGAAATCGAGGCTTTCGAACAGCGCAGACACTTTGGCAGCCAAGAATTTTGGCGCACATATTTGCGATATTCCCGACGAATCTAAGGGCATAAAGTGAAAATGGTTAGATATGGTAAGGAAACATTGTATCACAAGACTTACTTTCTCATTTTGTATGCAATGGAAGGCGAATATATACAATCCCATTAGAGTATTAAAGCTAATGAAAAGATAACCACATACGACGGCCAGCTCATCTTCCATTTTGGACAAACGTAGGTAGTAATAGGCGGATATCCAAACGGCGATTAGTAGTAGGAGAAAGATGAAGGAGCAACGTATGTCGAAGCTGTTAGAAAAATAAAAATAAAATATTATTTTAGGACTTAAAAGCATATTTCTGCAGCATCATGGGCAGCCGCCTTTTTTTGAAATGGCAATACTGCTTCGTTAGGCTTCTAAAAAGCTAAGCGGATTAATTTAGAAGAGGAGGAGGCTTTAGATCTCGCATAGCCAGCTGTGGATCGTAACAATAAACCTTCAGTGCAAGACGTCTGCAACCTGTCTGCTTGAATCACATTTTTTAATGTTACCTGTTGACCTAAGCGGGGTTAGATCGAAAGGGTGACAAAATCCGGGTCAACTCCGTTGCGTAGAGCCGGCTGTCACTAGAGTCCTGAACCTTCCGCTAAATAATCTGAGTTGCTTAGATTAACTAGTCTGTACCTAAGCGGGGTTGGAAAAGCCGCAACAACAACAAAAACAGTGTATTTTGGATGTCTTTGCTGGTTGGGCGTTCAAAGCTCAGGCCCTTAAATAGATTCATCTAACAACCGTCTCCCTTTGATACGAGTCTGTAGAATCAAAAATAACTATTTGCAAGTATTGTATTGTATTGGATATCAGTCTACATGACTCGATGATGACAATGCTACAACCAGGAGTCGTACCTCTGGTGAAAAGACGCTGTACTTTAGATTTCAGCGAACTCTTAAACGGAATATGTCGAAAACTTACACAATTTAAGTTGTGACCTAAAGCTTCACACATAGTATCTTGGTTTTTAGAGGTTACATTTCATCAGCCTCGTTAATGGCAGTGAAAATGAGCTAGCTGTTCCAGAGATGGCTAGTCCGAAACCCCAGCTGAGCTATAACTAGGAACTTTCTTCAGCGCTTTTGCAGAATATTTTTTGACAAAGGCATGTCCAACGCTTGTAACATAAATTTGCTCTCCACAATTCATAAGAAGGGGAATCCACAGAATGCTTGTGGTATAATCCGCTTCAATGCTGCATGAAAGCATAAATCACATCGCCGACGTACTGACAGGTTTTTTCCGTGTGTCTTTAGACTCCTCTGAGTTAAGAGTCGGAGGTGACTAAAATACAACAGTTCTGCGACATTCAGACATTTATATTAGAGCAATCCAGAATTTATGAATTTGGTATCCCCTCAATACTTATACAACTGATTAAACTATTGACGCAGAGAAACATCAAAAGCACAGTCAGAACTGAGAATGCCCACTGCAGGCTGTTCAGTACCAGAAGCATATCTTTATCGTTTCCTTATCCAGTCTGAAAAAAGCAGAACTAACGGCGCTGTTGTCCAGGCCTAGTATGAAACTTCGTTTGGGACCAAATGCCTTGAAGAGGCACTTCCCGATTCCAATATTATACAAAAAAGCAAAATAACTGATACCCGGAGAGGTTGACATTCCCTGGAGAAGACATTAGGAAAATAAATTTTCTATAATTTTGAATGTTGGTCTGATCAGGATCCGAGCATCTCTCCGCATGATCGTTTGTACTGCTAATCTATCGGCTAGTGTCGCTGACGAAATTGGCATTGTTCAACGGATAAGAAGACAGCTGCTGCGCTCTGGCTAAGCCTTGTCGTTTGAATGAATGAAAGCATTGCACTTCTGAGACTCGAGGTAAATGTACCGGAGCACTCTTTACAATTTCTTTTGTATATATATATATATAATTTCTGACTACTTTTAAAAACACCTGTAATTGGTTTTCTCAACAAAAAAAAAGTGATTTAATTTCACTTACCGCACATTAGCGAGCCTCGTATGCTCTTTATTCTTCAATGTTGTATGACTTTTGCGACACATGATGACCCACGATAAAAAGGTGTAACCCAAGGCGCCCTAAAAATTATTTCAGATTATATACAACACTCTTTAATATATATATATATATATGTATGTATGTATAATTGTGTACTTACCAGTAGGTACAACATGACAGGCGCCACAAAACTCCCATAAAACAATGAATTGGCCTCCATTAGAACACAAAAGTCATTCTGTGTGTATGTATTGGGATTAATGGCCAATGAAATGGCCACAATTGTTAGTGTTACACCATAAGCGAGCAAATAGTAACAATTCACTTTGGAAGTTTGATCAACCTCGAGTAACATATCATCGGTGGTTAGTGTGGAATATGATTGGAATGCTAAGAGGAACAAATATTAGTTTTTTTTGCGATGCGATGAGTGGTATGGAATACAGAGATGAGAAATTTTTTAAAATTTAGAAAAAGTTAATATTATTTTTTTTTTTACGAAATTAATTAAAATTTAATGTAATTTTTTGTTTGTTATTTTTGCTTGCCAACAGCAAAACTTCCCAATAAAATTTAATTGAACGAAATTTATTCAGTTTTTCTTAAATTTCTTGCACTGTCTGGTAATTTTTTAGTATAAAAATTAAACAAAATATTTTTTTTTTGAAATGTCTTAAAAAAAGACCAGCCTCTAGTTTCCAGGCGTAAATAATAAAGCAAGACTTTTAATTGATCTAAAAAAAAAATGCAAACAATTACAAAACTATATTTTTCATTGAATCAATTCTCAAATAACACTGCTTTCAATTCCCGTTTAAAATTTTAATTTTTAAATTTAAAAAAAATTTTAAATTCCTTTTAAAAAAAAAATTAAAAAAAAATGTTTTTTTTGTTTTCAACCTCAACTCACCTTCGAAACAGAACCACGCAATCGCTGCTAGTATTGAACAATGTAGAAAAACTGTTGTGAACCCACAAAGTATACTCGTCTCATTCTGCTCAATGCCAATTAGGAAAAGAATTTCAATGGAAAATAGACATATATAAATGCTGCGATAGATGGAAGTGCGCGCAGACTGTAACAAGAAAAAAATGAGAAGAGAAAAGCGAAAATGTAGGAAAATTTGGACAAAAAAGAGTTGTTTTTAGAATTTAAATAGAATTGAAAACAATTGTAAAAAAAAAAACACATTTTTCATCTAATAACCGTAGAATCGAGTTTTGTTGAAGCCAAATGAGTTTTATAATGCAAATGTTCATAGAAATTAATACAGTTTTCAAGTTAAAAAGCTCATTTTTGGTGGAAAAAATATTAGATTTAGTTAATTTTTGCAAAATAAAAATTTTGAAAAAAAAAATAATAATAATTTTTACGAAGCTACAACCATTTAGTTTTTTTCTTTGCATTGAAAACATTTTTTTAATTTGAAAATTTTAGTTTTCCAATTAATTGTACAAAACAAATATCGAAAGTATTTGATTAAAAAAAAATTATGATAAATGATTTTTTCAACACTTTTAGAATTTTAACATTTTAGTTCAAAAAAAAAAAAAAAAAAAAAAAAAATTAACAAAATCACAAATTGAAAGATTTTATTTTGCTTTTGAAATAAAGATTTGAAGATTGATTAAAAAACCTTCATTCTTACATAAATTTTAAATATTTAGTTTTCTAAAAAATGTACAAATCGAATATCGGGAAAAAAGATAATTTTAAAATTGAGTTTTAAAGATTGTTTAAAAATTTTTGATAAATTATATTTTCACCACTTTTTGAATTTGAATTTTCTTTTTGAAATTAATATTTCAAAATTGATTGAAAGAAAAAGATCACTTCATAATTTTGAATATTTTAGTTTTCCAAAAGAAAACGTTTAAAATAAATCCAATTTTTTTATGATTTCTTTTGAAATTAAATAAGAAGGATTTGTTAAAAAACGCTTTGAAAATACTTTTTATAAAATCGAAAATTTTAGTTTTCCAAAAGATTTTACAAAACAAATATTTTTTTACATTTAAATCCCATTTAATTGATTAAAAAAATTATTATATTTTAAATTCAAAAATTAAATTACCAAAAAAAAAAAAAAATTACAAAGCAAATTTTTTCGCTATTTTTGTTTTGCAATTAAGATTTAAATATTAATTAAAAACTAATAATTTTCAAAATCTGAAAATTTCTGTTTGCTAAAAACTTTGCTAAAACAAATATCGAATTTTTTGCTTTTTAAATTAATTTTTAAAACTTGATTAAAAACTTTAATAAAGTTTCTTTGATTTGTAAGTTTTAGTTTTCCAAAAAAAAAAAAAAAAAAAAAAAAAAAAAAAAATTAAATCTGATATCGAAAATTGTTCAATTTGCTTAGGTTCCTTAAAAACATTTTGGAAATATAATTTTAGCAATTTTATTATTCCGAAAAATTTTACAAAGCAAATATCGATCTTTTATTTTAATTTTTTGAATTAAAAAACTTTGATAAATTACTTTTGCAACATTTGTAAGTTTTAAAAAATGTAAAATTAAGATTCAAAATTTGATTACATCTTTTTAAATCATTTTTAACTCTTTCTTTTTTGGAATTTTTCGTTTTGAAAATATAAAATTTAAAATTTCATTTCAATTTCATTTCATTTATCAATTTTTTTAATGTTAAATTGGAAAATTATATAAAATAAATATTACGATCTTTGAAAAATTTGAATCTTTTTTTTTTCGAAAATTATGATAAATTTCATGCGAAAAAAATCAACATGAAACAAAATCAATCATTGGTAAGAACCACGAAAATTTTCCCGTTTTTTACATAAAATTCATAGGAAAAATAATTTCAAATCGTGATTAGGTTCAATATATCTTGGATCTTTAAAAAAATATACATATATAATTCCGTTTTTAATTTTGTGCTTAAATTTAGCTATTAAATTTGTAAATTGTATTAATTATTTTATAGTAAAGTGGTGGTGGTTTTCGTGGTATTGTTGGATATTAGGATAGGAAGAATAGACATAGCAAATGAAACAAAATAAAAGAAAAAAAAAAAAAAAAAAAAAAGTAAAAGTAAAAAAAAAAAAAAAAAAAAAACAAATGACAAATGAATACAAAACATATTTTTTTCTTTGAAATGCGCAAATTGACATTTATTGATATTTATGTATGAAATATGATGTATTTGAGAACTCTAAATAAATGTCAAATTTTATTAAAAATAATTATGAAAATATGATTTTAAAATTATATGGAAACTATGAGCTAAATTTAACTAAAACAAACACAATACTAACTATACAAGGCATACAAAAAGAATATATGTATAAAATGAAGGAAATGTAACTTAAATTATAAAATTTTAATTAAACATATACATATATTTGTGTTATAAGGCACTAGCTAACATGTAGACAATTTCTTTCAGAAACTCAAAAACATTTATACTTAATAGTATATCACATTTACTACTACAATAATCAGTACAATTAACAACGAAGCTAAAAAAAAATAAGAAAAAATAAAAGATAAATAAAGTAAAATTTAAAGAAATGAAAATTGAATGTTTCATGCTTAAATTTAAATATTTTCAATAACCTACGTATTTTTTTTACCAACGCGTTCTACTTAAAACTGTTTTAAAATATGTTTAATACACTTTTCGCATGTATTATATATGTATGTATACCTTCAACTACACTTATTGAGACATTCATAAATTACCTAACTTTACTTAAAAAATAGCACAATGGAAATTAAATAAATATATTTTCTATTAAATATTTCACCACCACCACCACTTATACTGTAAATCTTCCATATTTCCTTGCATTATAATATTATTTGCATTTGTATTGGTATCGTTTATGCGATTATTATTATTGTTGGGGCCCACAACATTATTGCTGTTGTTATTGTTGCGATTCACATTTAAATTATTATTACTGCCAGCATGTTGCAGCGCAGCCGCAATAGTAGCTGCCGCCGCCATTGCCGCCACCGATGTGGTATTACTCATGGAAGTCTCCATGCTGCCATGATGGGGCGTAGTGTGCGCCGTCGCAGCGCTCACATGCATATGCGTGGTAGCTGTCGTCGGCTGATTCAAATTATGACCATGCGGATTGTGATGATGCGGCGGTTGGAGATTCAAATTCAAATTTAAATTATTCATTTGTAAATTACGCTGATTGTGTTGAGCTACCACAACTGCAGCGGCGGCTGCGGCTACTACTTGTTGTTGCTGCTGTTGTTGTTGTTGTGCGGCAGCTTGTTGCTGCAGATTGAAATTGTTCGCATTCAAATTGTTACGATTCGAATTGCGTATGGAATTGTGTTGTATGAAATTAGTGGGCGCAACGTTGGCATGATGACTGCCGCCGCCGCCGCCGCCACTGCCGATGCCACCCACACCACCCATTATATTTGGAATGTGTTGTAAATTTAATTGTTGCTGCAAATTTTGTATATTATTAGTGGGCGTAGGTTGGCCGCCCGAAGCGGATGCTGATGATGAGGAGCCCGTTGCCGAAGTTATCGCCAGCGTTTCATGCGTTTGATCGCGTATATTATTTTGACGGCGGCCGCTGCGTTGACGCTGACTGCCTCCGCTGCCGCCGCCGCCGCCGCAGCCACTTTGTGTACTAGCACGTCTTCTACGACGACTACCGCTTACCTTGATAAAAACGCCATTGAAGATCTTCAGCGTCAGTATGGCAATAACAACGAAAACCAAACAAATGGCGACGCTTATGTAGATGAATATGCGCATATTGCCATCGAAAACACCGAATAGTGAATGATTGTGCTCGTCCATGACATCCATGAGTATGGCAAAGTTGGTCAGATGATTACACATGCAAATGCTGTGCGTGCGATTTGTAGACTCCAAAGTACAGCCATTCGCTGACCAAGCGCTGTTGTAAATTTTGTATTTAAATATATATATATATATATTATTATTATTTTGTTTTTTTAATTAATAAAAAGGTTACTTACTGATCGATATAGTTCCAAAATACACATGTCGGATTGGTTACATTTTCCGTTTTGATATGACGTAACACCAGCTTGATCGGTTGTGATAGTTGTGTATGTCGGCCCTTACCTAAACTCGCTGATATGACTTTGCTATTGAGTATACGTATGCGTTGTTGTTGCAAATCTGCAGTGACCGCTGAATAATTCCGTTCACTTGCTAGTAAAGCGGTGTTGCGTACTAATTTTTTATATAATAATTGAATATTAATATAAATAATAATAATTTTAAATGAATTATTTACCGTAACTGCGTGAACTTTTTGTATCAAAATGATCGTAAGTTGGTTTCAGTATTGATTCTAAGCGATCAAAGGCGGCAAATACAATGCGTACCAGACCACCTTCGCTATTCTCAATTAGGGCTGTACGCGGCAGCTCAATGCGATCATCACTTATTTGCCACTGTTCAGCATCTGGGAAAACTTCGTTGCTTTGAATGTTTTTAGTTTCCAAGACACGTACGGACAATACTAGAAATAGTTGTGAGAAAAGTGTGGAATATTAAGGAACAAACGAAAATACAATTGTATATTCAGCTGAACTCATAAGTCTTTTAATTTCTCTGTAAGGCAGGGCTATAAACTTTTGGTAAATTTATATCTTATAAAAACTATTTTAAGCTCAAAAAAGTTGAAATTATGTCAAAACTTGTGCACCGGCAGCAAAATACCTTTTTATTCAACTTAATTTATGCTTTTTTTTTCTTTAATTGTCTCTGTTTTTATGAAATTTTATATTATCTTCCAGCACTTACATATATTCTTGACCTTTTGCACAATATTCCGCTCACGTATTATGGTATCAGCCAAAAGGAATGCATTATATTCGAGACCCGTTAGTAGTGATGTAGCAACGCGCATTTGATCTTCCTGATTGAGATCCATCCAAGAGGATAATTGCGATTCGTCCAGTAAATTTGATCCTGTTTTTACAACACCATGCAATAGTTCCAAAATGATAGCCTCACGTTGACGTTGATCAGGCAATGTTTCTTTATCGTGAAACATTTTCTCGGACATAGTTTCTATGATTTTAGTAGTGACAAGCATGTCACCACCATACAAAGTCTTGCTACTGGTAACCTAATGTGAATACAAAATGAAATATTTAAATATTGAAATTAAATATTGAAAATATTTGTATATTGAAAAAATATTCACTTGCATACCTCGGAAAGATCATTAGCTATGGATATAACTGAAGATTCACGTTGATTTACGCGCACCTCCAAACTATTCAGCCACAAGCTGCGACATTGCGTCAGATCGGGCGTTATGGGATGCCAAGTGGGCTCAAAATTGCCAATGCGTTGATTCAAACGATCCGCAGCTGTCTCACAACTACTATTACCATTATTACTACTGCAATTAGCACGTGCTATCGTACGCATTGTAGTGGTCTCTGCGGTCATACTATCTTCACCAATTTTATAATTGATGCGCTTCATGAGTACACAACGCCATTTCGCTATGCCAGTAGCGCCACCAGGACATGGCTGCACATTCACATCGCCAACACGAGTTATATTCCAGAAGAGATTACGCGCATTTGTCGGTCCACAGTACATATTTGACTCATCCTCAGCAATGGCACCCAAACCCATATTGAGATTGTTTATATTGTTGATAGTGCGTATACCGTTGTTACCAGCATCACCGTTGTTGTGGTTACCCAGGACATTGCTATTGCCGGTAGCATGTTGTTGTGTTGACGTACTTTGCTGTTGTTGGCTGCCACGATTTTGTGGCGTTTTTGCGGTTAGTAAGGTGCCATCATCTGTGCCGCTGCCACCAACACCGCTGAGTATGCGTGTATTGGGCGCGTTGGTGGTATTGGACGGAGCCGCATGCGTTTTGGCTGTGAAAAAAAGAGGTTAAATATTGTAAATATATATGTATGTTTAGAAATTAAAAAAAAGCTTAACTTACTTTGATTTGTGTTCGGTATACGTGTAGCCACGTCATTTTTCGCTGTTGGTCGCGTATTGCCTGCCGTGCTATCGCCATCCACAGGCGTCGCTGCATGATGACCAGTGTGATGATGATGATGCAGCGGCGGTGGTGGTGGTAAACCGTCATGTCGATTGGCATTCTTTATCACCGTTGTGTTATAGCTGCTACCTTTTATGCGCCCGCTAGGCAATGTGGGTTGCGGCGGTCCCGGCGTTGGTGGCGGTATTGTATGCCACATGCCATTTGAACCCGGCAGGCCACCATTACTAGGTAGTGGCAAGCGACCTGGTCCTTGTGGTTGCAATGGCGCACTCGGATTAATTAACGTGCTGCCATTTGCCAGTAATGGTGGGTTATTCGCCAAAACCCATGGTGGACTGGGACGATTTGTTGTAGTTGATGTTTGTGCCGCCGATATGCATTGGTAATGCGCTTCGAGATATTTGTGCGTACCCGGACAAGGATCGCCAAACATGCTCGTTGTTGCCAGCACGCTGCAGCTTTGTTTGTGGGCGCATCTGTTGTAAAAATTCATAATGTAGTTGCTGAAAAACTACAGGCGCTAAAGTTTTACTCACTTTGAATTCAAGACGGTCAGACTCTTTGGAAACATACAATTCACACTCCAATCGACATTGCCGTGATCGTTGCATATCGTTATCGAGAAACGTCCATAATTTGCACGTATCAAGTTGATCAGGTCGCCTGGATCGCATTCTATTGTTAGTTTCTTACCTTCGCAGGCGTATGCCGTTTGATATTTGGGCGCTATTAGAAGAGGAGAACATTTGGTTAGTCAAAAATATTTAATTTTTTTTTTCAACATAGCAAACAAATGTCTTTTCGATTTTAAATTTATATGAAATATACAATGTATGAATATTATATATATGTATATGTGAATTTATAAAAAATTATATTAATTAGAAAGTTGTGTTAAATGTCGTAGCTGTAGTTGGTTTCGATTGGTTTCTTTTTGGTTTGATGATGATTCGATCTGAAAATAGATTACAAACTATGCATGGCAAAATGTACGTATATATGAGTTTATAAACATGAAACATTTGAATTGTTTATAATTAAACAGCATTAAGATAATAGTGAGCACAATCATGTTTTTAGCCTACGTTAGATACTTAGAATGTTTCCAGGCATGCTTGCCACACATGATTTTTTAGCTTTGTTGCTTAGTGTTCATAAATACCAATGCCATCAGAATTAAAGTTAAAACTCAGCGTACACCTCCTCCGATTATCATCCGAACCAGTTTAAGACACACCGCCATGCCGCTGTTGATGAATCATCATAAACTGCTTTCTTTGTGTATTTGCTTTCTCGCTCAATAAATGAAGTCATAGCTGGAGTGAAGATGTGCACAAAATTGCTGCATAAAAGAAACAAGACAAATATATTCGTATCAATATACATACAAGTAAGAATTTTTAGATGAATCCATCCAACTATGATACTTGAATTCATTATTAAATTGGAAATAAATTAGAAACGTCTTTTTAGGAATTTTATGAACTTCTGTTTAGATTTTTACTTTCAAGTATACATTAACTTAGTATAAACTCTTCAAAGCAAAATTAGGTAAAATACTGCGATTTTCCTAAAAAAAAATTAGTAATAATCAACCATTTATTCGACGATACAAAATAGGAAACAATTTGTGAACTTTAATTTCTAACAATTAATTTGATGCATATGTCCAAGGCAATTTAATTTCAACGCAATGTGCACTTAATCAAACAATTTTGAGAAATGTCGACTTGAAAGAATCATTATAAGAATACATATATGTACATACACATGTCGGCACATTAGAGCGACCCAAAAAGCAAACAAATGGCTTAAAATGCCATATGCACTTTATGGGATAAGTAAATACCAGAAGGTATTATTACTAAATTTCTTCACGATGCACTTCGTAAGCACTTAAACAAACAGTGAAAGGGAAAATGTGGACACAGCGCATTCCAATTGCAGTAGATACATAAATATGTATTGTGTATACCACCGAATGCTTTTATGGCCGAACTTGTAGCAGCTGCATGAATCGGCATTGGCCCTGCATGAATGTGCAACACTCAGCAATGCAATCTCACAATAGTGCTGTGTTCCACTTCGTAATGTTTCTCGAGCTACACTTTTTATTTTGTATCACACATTGCTTGAGTGAAGTCAAATGTAAAGAATTTCCTTTGTTACTGGGAAAGTATTGCTTTATATTTGAGCAAATATTGGCAACAAAATTTCATACATTATTAAAAGAATTTGTTGTAAATACAATCATTTCACTTCTTACAACTTTTTCAAGCAATGTTTAAAGGCATTTTAAATTAAGCTAAACGACATCATTCAGCGTCATTAACATTTGTAAGAAAACTATGAAGAACTAAATAAAATTAAATAATTTCACTGCACGGAATATAAACTTCTGAACAGTAGCTTTAAGCAAGTTTTAGCAAAAAAGTTAATTCAAACGACACATTAATGCACCTCTCTCGATTAATAAATGTACACCTAACATTTTACTGTTGTCTGTACCATAATAAAGGTCTTGCTGTTAAAATTAACTACACGAATTTACAGCACAAATTGGTTTAACAGCAACGTAACAGCGGCGCCCGACATTTTCCAGTTGTCTGCTGTTAAATACTTTCACCAACCAATCAATGGCCCAAAGTTAAACAAAGAAAAACTCTTCAAAATTCATATTTTCGATGAAAATTTCTAGTAGACCACGTTTAGTATACATTATTTAATATTTTTATACACTTTTTCTTATTTAAATGCTTATAATAAGCAAAAATTCGAAAAATATTTTAGACCTACACACCTTTGCGACTTGTAAAAATTCTCTACACTACACGAATGTCGATGTAAAATAAAATTGAGAATTGAGTGATTAAAATACAACTGGAAAAAAGTGGTGGATTTAATAATAGAGGAATTGAGAGTTTTTGGAGATAATTTTAAGGTCTCCAAAGTGTTGGGACATAATTTTTTCCGTTATTTTAACTTGTATTTAATTGAAAAAGTTTGTATATAAATACGTGGCATATAAAATAATCAAATATACACTACACATGTGAGATGAATTGAGACGCATTGACTTACTTGACAGATATTGGGTTAGGATTCACTTAAGCTTAATACCATGATTTCCATTTAAAGGACTCTATCGTTCTTAAAATATCACCATGAGATAGAGCAAGATTTTTTAAAAACAGAAAGAAATCTTCCGATCATTTGGAGTCGGCTTAGATTAAATTATAAGTTCTTCCAATTTGTTGAATAAGCAATCGATTCGCTAAGCACAAACTGAACGACGAGCTCGGCCGAAAATCGCTTTTACAGTTAACAAACGCGAGTTATAAAGCATAAGTGTATTTTGTTGGAATTTTTAGTTAAAAAATCGTTCCGTACCATTTCATAACGAATTCTGCTTTTTCAGTTACACGACAATTTCCTTGTTTGGATTTTTCTATAATTTGCTGCAATAACAATGCTAAACAGTTCAACAATAGAGAAAGAGTCAAAACAAGAAAATTCTCATCATGGAATGTAGCCCATTTCTGGGCATAGAATTACAGTTGCTAGGCTTAGCCAGTGTCAGCTCTTGTGTCCTATCTGCAGACTTTGAAAAAATGAGCAACTCTTGTGTGAAATACGGTAGTCAAACTGAGTGGGAGCTTAGTACACGGCTAAACGAGAGGAAGTTTTAGTAAAGCCTCTTCGAAATATCCGGCTAAAGTCTTAACGTCTCAACATCTGTTCACTAACGGTTGCAGCCGCCTCGCAGCGAGCTTCGGTTATGAAAAGACTAACAAGGCAATCGTACAAGGCTTGAAATGTTGGGTCTCTTAACTGGGAAGATTCACCTGTCTGTTGTTCGTGGTAAAATTAAGGCTGAGCACGATGATTCATAGACGCGACGGATGCTAAAAGGACAGAAGAGGCTAGTGGGATATACTTAAACTACCGTGACCATGTAAAAGATCACAAAGGTAGGCAGGTCTTGTGGTAGGAAGGAGACTTCGTCGTACCCTGTTCCTACATGTTGTCACAATCCGCTTTAGAACGTGATTTTCATCATATCGCTTTAACATATCGCCGGGCCCATCGGAAGGAAACAACTATGTATTGAAAGCGCTTACTGAGGCTGCCCAACCAGGATGTCATAACCGCGCTTTGCGATCTTAGCACCAAAGGTGGGCAAAGAAGATATCTTTAGTGCAACAATCGGTTAATTCAGCACCCATTACGAAACATCCTCAAATAGATTGAGGCTAATCAGTTTCTCTAGGCCTGAAAAATGGTTGAATATATTTGCATAGTACCAAACTCCGGCGTAAGAGAGCTCATCAAGCTATAGGAATGTCTCCGTATCGAGGAACTCGTCACCAAATCGGCCATGTTGTAATGGGTGAAAGGTATGTTTCCAGTTTTATACACGTCCAAGTCTTTGACCTAACATCCTAACGTTGTGCAGCTCACTATGCAAGATCGAAGAATTCTCATGTAGGACCCAAAGAGCTAATATAATTACCGATGCCCAGAGTATAATGACTTTTGGAAGGCGTTATTTCTCCAGATTGTTAATTAGCAATGACATTGGTGTGGTGAACCTAAATTCACAATCGATGATGATGAAATAGTTAAAGCTTTGCTCGATTATGATGCAGTTCGAATAGTAACTGAAGAATAAGAAGGTGCTGGAAGCCGATGGCTAACTTTAGGTTCTTTTCAGAATCTGATGAATCGATTTGTCGCCTTGTGAATATCTGACCAATGCCGAATTAACCAGCCACATTGGTAATGTCCAATCAGGATGTTGACGGTGGCTTTAGTCTTTCACACGAAAGGCTCAATAGGAACTTATATGCTATATTTAGGAGGCTAATCTCACGGTTACTATGGATTTGGCGGAGGTCATTTAAGTTCCAATCTTCGTGTACACTTTCGTTCGACCATATTCTGCAAGGAACTGCACCTTGTAAAGTCTTCCCCATCATATTTAAATAGCTTAGCCGGTAAGCTATTGACTACACTCACTTTGTTGTTCTTTAAGCGAGCAATCGCAATGCGTACCTTGTCATAGTCGGTTAATGGAAAGTCTTTTCTATCATCATAGATTGTGGTTTCGAGTTCGGTGTTGCATTTTCACTGCCATTCAGTGTGCTGGAGAAGTCTTCCTGCATAAATTCGGTATAAACTGGGCATCAGTCACTAGATCAACTCTCTGGGTCCTACAAGAGTTTCCTCCGGTTTTATAACCTTCTGTATGTCAATTTTCGTAGAATTTTCAAACATCACTTCTCAAGCTCTTCATACTTACGCATTTTGGCCTCTTGCTTTTTTCGGCTGCAAATTCAGGAGGTCTCGGTATCAATTCCACAATGATAATTTTACAACTAATATCTTCTTCGCCCACTTTGACGTTCTAGGCGCTTGTAAAAAGCGTCCTTGGTCACATCGTCCTTTTCTTCCGCATGGAGCATGGGCACAAATCGACAGCATATTGAAAACTTCTGCTTTGATGCGGATTGTGGCGGAAGTGAGGAAAGTTTTTTGCTGTCATTCATTGAGGCGGGGTCAGAAATGAATCTTTTCAAGCAGCTCACGGCTTCCGGTCTAAGGAAAAGTGTCCTCCGGGTAATCAATAAACATCCGTTTGGATGCGAGCTAAAGTGAGAAGACGAGTTGCCTTGCGGTTGAGCGTAGCGTTTGGGACCCGGACCCACCACTTGAAACATATACACCAAAGAAAAACACTTTCGCCACTATATATTGCACATATATACATTTCTATGTACATACATATATACATAAGTTATACTTCTTTAGTTCCGCTCAACTTTTTGTCCATCGTAAACTATGGAAAGTTCCTTTCATGTATGAATGTAAGCATGTAAATCTCATCATCAATTATAATTTTTATTTGTAAAATCCGCACATTTTCCAAGCAAATAAAAGACTAGTAAATTTAATATTTTTTTGTTTGTAGAATTTTATTGACAGACACTAACTACGAGTACATACATACATATTCAATATGGCAAACAACGACATCAATTGTATCATGACAAATTTATAAGTAACGTGGGGATTAGACTAAGTAGAATTTAGTATTTGTTTATGCCGCAAGAGACATTTTGCAAATAAAACTATCACATTATATGTTATTTATATATATGTACATATACTCAGTTAACACATTATTTTTTATTTATTTAAGTAAATATGCATTTTATTTGATATCATATGCTTTTTCTTTAAGTACTAAAACGATTAATCAATTCCTTAATCTTAAAGCTAAAAAATATTTAAAAATACAATTAAACAAAATACCGCTAGTTGTTTGACGAAAATTTATTTGCTACTTATTTTCTCAACATTTTTGTATACTTATATATACATACATATATACTGACTTATGCACATAATGTCACTCATGAAAGCGGTCACGCTAAGGCTTTTTAACTTTAACTTCTAAAAGCTCGTTTTATTTTTTGTTTTATTTTTTCAAATATATATACAATAATGATTAACAAAAACAAAAACTATTTACTTGTAAAACCCTTAAATAAACAATAAGAAAAAATAAATGCAAAAAGTAATAAAAAACATTTCTAATGGGAGATGTTATTTTGAATGGCCTGCCGTTCCGCTAGATGTCGCTTTTGAAGCTGTAATTTTTGACATTTCACAAGTACAATAAAATCTCCGGCAGTAATAAAAATGGCACGATATATGCTTCAGCAACGCATTGAAATTATTAAAATTCACTTTAAAAATGGTGAAAACCTCACAGAGAGGGTTCGTAAAACTAAAACATTTTTCGCTCGTCGTGAAGCATCTTGTTGGACCGCAATATAGAAATTAGTAGAAAATTGGTGATGTTGCGATGTAAAAAATTAAACACGTGCACGTCCCTCAAGAGCAGCTGCGATTATCACTGCATGGTTACACCCAAAGTATTGAAGAAATCCCAGTTTTGTCCATTCCTCGTCGTTCTTTGAAATTGAACCGTATTTTGCATAAAGACTTAGGTCTTAAGGCTTATTAAGATCAGTTAACACAAGCACTCAAGCCGACCAATCATCAACAACGTCAAGGGTTTGCTGATTGCGTCCTTGAAATGCATGAAAATGATACGGAATTTCATAGAAAACACATCTTGACCGATACTGAAGCCCATTTCCCCCTCAATGGCTAGGTTAATAATCACACCTTTCACATCAAAGGCTCGGGAAACCCTAGATTTATTTTTGAAAAGCATCTCCGTTCTCCTTACTTCTTCGAAAAATGTATGGATTGCGCTATCGAAATAATTGTTAATGCCTTTTTATGACCGGAATTCAATGGTATTGATCTGAACAACGTTTACTTTCAGCAAGTCGGCACTACGTGCCACAGAAGCAACAAAGCCATCGCTCTTTTAGGGGGAAGTTTCTTTGTATATCAAAACCACACTTTTTATTGGCAAACCCTTTACATGATCAATTTTGTGACTTTACAAAAAAAAAACATTATTAATACAGCCTCTATCCTTCTGGCCAGGCTGTCCTTTTAGGCATGCCGATCTCTAAAGTACTTGACTAAACCGAACACACACGGGAAGGACAGTGAGTACTTGTTCACAAGGACATGGAGGGGAAACTGTAAGGCGTATGAGCTTGCTGGACAAGGTAAGAACAAGCAGATTCTTCTCGATAAAGAAAGCATTGAAACGATTACCCAACTCTTATGCTACTATCTTGCTTTGAGCAGGGCTAAATTTCGGATTTTTGGGACCCTGTTGCTAGATGGTAGCCGTTGTCAAAGTCTTGGTTGACTAATGAGGTTTAATAGAGAATCAAAATGGCTGGATAATGATGTCCGAAGG